GTCTACTTTGCTGCTGCGAATAAAGAATGTTTGCAGTTCCTATGGCTCCTTGCATCTTCTTTTAGCTTCTTCCTATCTGTTTGCTCGCTCACGCCTTGCCTACCCTGGGTTCAGCGAACAGGAGACAATTGGCGTAGTGGGTAGGATACAGTGAGACATACAGATACTCTTGTTTTAATAAGCAAGGAGTGCAAGGAACGAGGAGGATAGCCATCATCAGCCTCTCTGAGTCACTCTCCAGCAGAAAGGAGAAACATCACATTTCTCTTTGGTCATTTTTATACTTCAGAAGGCAGACCAAGTTTAGATATCAGCAAAGGAAAGGTAACATTTGGGAAGAACGTAGAACACCAGTGGCCTACTTTACTACTAAAAGTTGCTTTGGTTTTCTTTTAGTTCTGAGGTGTGATTTCACTTATTATCACCAAGGATGAGGTTCAAAATTTTATCAATAAAAATGGATTGACCTGTCAGAAATTAACCATTTTCTAAAATATGGGGATATTTAACAAAATGAAACATTTCTTTGTACCTTGCAGCTAAATTAGAATGTTACTTTTCATTTACTAAGCTGTTAGTGGGAAAATTTCCTGATAAACAGTTACGATATAAGTGTTCTCTAGTTGTAATCTTCAACAGTTTTATCGGGACGGGATTGGTGTCTGTCGTTGTCATTTTAGGTGGGATTTGGTCGTACTGACAGAGACTAAAATTCCTTTGGCAGAACTTTTAATTTTATTTTTTTATTAAAGTATAGTTGACTTAATATTAATTTCAGGTGTATAGCATAGTGATTCTGCTTTTTATAGGTTATACTCCATGAATAGTTGTTACAAGATAATGGCTATAATTCCCTCTGCTATACACTGTATCCTTGTTGCTTATCTATTTGGTGCATAGTAGTTTGTGCCTCTTACCTTACTCTTGCAGTACCTTATTTCTGTCTTGCTCCACATTTCTGAACTCTGCTCTCTTGCAGTTTTCATCTCAGGTTTCACTATGATGTAAAGATGACTGCCAGCATCTCTAGCCCTATGGTCTTCCAGGTTCTGGGCCAGTAGGGGGAAAAAAGAATTTAATCGACTGTTTAATACAACAGTTTAATACAACTTCTAGGTTTTCCATGGATCCTAATTGTGTTGTTATGGTCGGGGGGCGGGGAGGGAATGATCAGGGCTGATTGACCTGACCTGAGTCCCATGATCCTTCTTGGAGTTGGAAGTGGGGTTAATTCTACAGTAGATTGATGGTACAGGACGGTAGTTCTCAAGAGGAATATCTGAGGTGTTTTTGTTCTTTTTTTGTTGTTGTTGTTTGTTTTTTAAGCCAAAGAGATGCTGGGCAAGATAAAATGGAGCAAAATTTTAAAAGGCAGAAAAAGTTCTTTAATCTACTGTTACGTTTTGGGTTTCCCTTGTGGCTCAGCTGGTATAGAATCCACCTGCAATGCTGGAGACCTGAGTTCGATCACTGGGTTGGGAAGATCCCCTGGAGAAGGGAAAGGCTACCCATTCCAGTATTCTGGCCTGGAGAATTCCATGGACTGTATGGTCCATGAGATCGCAAAGTCGGACACGACTGAGCGACTTTGACTCACGTTTTAAAGCAGTTTTCTAAGAACATTAGTACTGTTAACAAGAAAATCCAACCCTTTTAGATTTTTTAGAGGCACCAGTTTAACAATCACACTAGTGTAATGCTTGTTTACTTAAGCAGATGTTTCAAATCTACAACACATGCCAGTTAAATCTTGTTTTAGAATTTACACTTGAGAGATTTGTTTAAAAAAAAAAAAAGTTGAGGGATTTAGGATCATTCTGGTCTCTTTCCCACTGCCAACATTTCAGGTAGCAGAGTTGTGCTCTAGCTATAATACATCAATCTTCCAAATCAAAGCTGAATAAGATTTTATTTTAGTGATTGTTTTTAACCTTGATATAGAATATTTTTTAGGTAGTGCTTCAAAGACTTTAAAGCCATTTTAATTCCAACTTAAAAATTAAAATCTATTCAACTTTGGGAATAGGTGTTTTTAGAGTACAGTTGGCTGCCTGAAGCTACTGCTATAGAAAGAGATGCAAAGAGCCCTTTTTTACTGTGAATGCTTAAAGCTTTAAGAAAGTGTGAGGAGATTGGCAGTTTGAGAAACTGCCTGGAATGTTATCTTAAAGAGTAATCTAGGACTTCCCTGGTGGTCCAGTGGTTAAGAATCCGCACCTGCCAATGCAGGGAACACGGGTTCCATCCCTAGTCCAGGAGGATTCCACATGCCATAGGTTGGCTAAGCCCGTGGGCCACAGCTACTGAGCCTGTGCTCTAGAGCCCATGCTCTGCAATAAGAGATGTCACCACAGTGAGAATCCCATGTGCTGCAACTAGAGAAAGCCCATGCATAATAATGAAGACCCAGCACAGCCAAAAACAAAAAGTAATGTCAAAGTCAGCATAAATTTTAATTACTTACTATATTTACTTTTCTGAGATATTTGAGCCAGTTTAGATCATAAGACAGGTTTGAATTTATCTTTGAATGGGCCATTGAGATAATCTGATATTTGATTCTGTTTAGACAGGGTCTAAAGCAGTACATTTATGCTCAGTGTTGCCTGCAGGTCATGAATTCCTGGTGCCTGGTACAGTTACAGGTAGGTGAGTGCTGAGAATTTGCTGTAGTCCAGAAGCACTGCTAAGATTTGACCCCTACTTTCAGTTCTGAGGTCCAGTCTTACGTTTGAAGTGCTCTGTATTCTCCCACCATCTCATGGGTGGGTGTCAGAATCCACTATGGTTCATTGTACGACCTAGGTTATACCAAGACCTTCTTGACTGTTAATTCTCTGGACACATATAAGTTCAATCAAAAACCATTTTTTGTGTTCCTACTATTTGCTAGTTATTCATCTAGGTGCTAGAGATACAGCAGTTAATAAAATAAATCTCTCCCGTATAAAACTTTTAGTCTGGTTGGAAATATTTGAAACTATCCATAATTATACATTGTTTTGGTCAAGTATAGATGTTCTGGAGAACTGAGAACTAGAGAGGATCCTTTAGGTCACCTTGATTTCTTTAATATTTCCTAGGTTCATAGGGTAGTAATTTGGGCAAAGGTGGGTGATATAGCCTAAGACTGGTGGTAATTTTTGGTATTGCTGTTATATTTTTGACTAGGTTTAGTTGATTTAAACTTTTTCTTATTTAACTTTATTTTTTGATTATGTAAATCATTCTTATGGTACAGAAGGCGAAACCATGTAGTGAAGTATCAGGGAAGTCTTGCTTTTATCTCTGTTCCCTCCAACCTGTTCTCACCCCCACAGGCCATTTTCTGAGTTTCTGGTTTAACCTTCCAGTATTTCTTTTTAATTGCTTTAAACCTTGGGGGAAGGGGAGGAAGGAAGGAGATGGGAGACTGAAGGAAGGAGATGAATGGGTGGGGATGGAAGAGAGGAGCTCTGTTTAAATAATGTTTGTGAAGTGTAATGTTTTCAGGTCTTTGAATAGAAGACCAAGATTGGAATCTTCTGGCAAAATAGATGTGATTATTATGTATGTAGGCTATTAGTGGTTCCTGTCAATTTAAAATCTTGACTTAGAAGGCTAATGAAAAACATGTAGTTGGAGGAAATAGTTGCTGTAATCTAGGGTGTGAAATGGAAACCTTTGGCAGATTGTAGAAATATAAGTCTTTTAAAGTAAGCCCTAGGAACTTTTTATAAAAACATTTGGGGTTTTTCATACTTAGAATGTTAAATAAATTCATTAGACAATAACCTTCTCTGTCCAAGAATGTTAATCTCTAGATTGGGAGAAAGGATTAGGTTGCTGTGTACATGGAAAGGAAGAACTGTACTTTGCTGGCTGACTGCACCTGTAATTGATGATGGACTTACCTCAGCAAAGTGGGCTTTCAGCCTAAAGGGAGAGCTTTAAGCATATTTTAAAAATGAGCACTTGGTTTCTGTTTTTCAGTCTCTGAACTAATCATCTGACACAGGGGACTAGCTACTGAGAATGAATCTGTTGTGCTCAGGCTTCACTGCCAACTTTTCTCTTTGATACAAGATGATTTGGCTATCTCTTAAGGTATCTTAAAATATTCTGTTCTCTGTAGCTCAGTGGTAAAGAATCTGCTTGCAATGCAGGAGACCCGGGTTTGATCCCTGGTTTGAGCAGATCCCCTGGAAAAGGGAATGCCTACCCACTCCAGTGTTCTTGCCTGGAGAAATCCCATGGACAGAGGAGCCTGGCGGGCTACAGTCCATGGGGTGGCAGAATTGGACACATCTGCGCGGCTGACACTTAGGCATCTTATATTTTTGTTGATTTCTCCTGTTGCTTTTGGAGCTTTTGCATTTCCAGCACTTACGACTTCGAATAATTTTTGCATCCTAGTTGGAGGGAGGCCTGATGAAAAAATAGGGATTGGTTGACTGCTGGTCAAGTGAGAATTTAAGGTGACGACAGTTGGGTTACTGGCCTGATGAAGTGAGCAGTGAGGTACTGTTTTGTTTGTTTTTTTTGTCTTTGTCTTCTTTTCTTGGTTGTAACAGATGATCTGGCATCAGACTGAACTAGCAACAGAGGTGTGTGTATGTAATAATTGCTAATTTTGTGTTGGTGTGAGTTGGACTTTGCATCTCTACCAGCATCCTTCTGATGGGAAAAAAGCAAATTACTGCCTAGTTAATATTCCAGGAAATACTGATGCTATTCTACAGGTATGTAGGATTTATATAACATTTATATTTTTCAAGAATATTTCATTTCTGTTATTTCATGCTTCCAACAGCTTTGTAAATGACATAGGGCAAGAATAACTCCTATTTAACGGAAGAGATGCCGAGGCATAAATAAGAGACTGGGTTAAGGTTGTTGGCTCAACAAATAAGTGACTGGGACAACTTACTAAATTTTATCTTTGAATTGTAGCTTTCAGAAAGTTTTAGAAGAGGAAAAAGCTGAATGATCCTCTTTTTTTGTTTTTCTTTATGTTTCAGCGGCGTCTTAGACATCTTCGGAACATTGCTGCCCGGAACATTGTTAATAGGAATGGCCATCAGCTCCTTGATACCTACTTCACACTTCACTTGTGTAACACTGAAAAGGTATACAAAGGTAAGAGAATCTGGACTTGCCACCCACAGATTGTTAGATCTCATTTTTATTCTTTTGTGACATAAATGGTTCTCTGCATCTCTCGCTAGTATTGCTTATTAGAAAACTAAGTTGTCATGCTGTCTGAAAATATTTCTTGAGCAGTTGTTATATATATTGAAGAAACATGTCTTTTGGATAGGTGAAATTTATCATCATTTACAATGATAAATTTATCATTCCTTTATAAATGTTAATGTTTAATTATTCAGTAGCTGTCATTTGAAATAGGTTACTTGAGTCCAGTATCTAGTTGCTTGTCTTTAAAATATAAGTGATTCCTTTAGTCTTGTGGTAAAATTTGGACCTAGTGCATATCTTCTCATATCTGTAATTCTTTGTGTATGTGGGCTCATTTTTAGAATTGCATGGTTTCTTTGAATTCATTTCCTCATACTGAAATGTGGATTCTTCCATAAGTGATAATTCTAAGAGGACATCAGATATTTGATTCAGAATCACAAGCATCTTTTGAATACATATTAGGCAAAAGACACTTTGACATATCAGTTGACTTATGTTGAATACTGTAAAAGAGGAAGAATGGTATAATGACAGGAATATTGAATTAGGATTAAAATTACATTGATACTAGTTCTGGATATTTCAACTAGTATGTAACTATATACCAGCTATGTACCAGTATGTACTTATATACCAACTATTACCAGTATATATACTATATACTGAAATAGCTTGCTATGTAATTTTTGGACAAAGGAAAAAGGACTGTAAATTCCACCATTTTTACAGTTTTATTTCATTCTTAGGTTTCATTCTAACCACTGCGTATTTTTAAAACAATTGTATTAATCTGAACGAGTAACTCTAGCTACCATAACAAGTGCTATGAGTCGTTCAGTGCCTTGACATAATAAATTTTTTTTTTTTAAATAAACTTCTTAAACACTAAGTTCAGTGAGCAATCTCTGGGAGATGGTGAAGGACAGAGAAGCCTGGTGTGCTGTAGTCCGTGGGGTCACAAAGAGTCGGACACGAGTGCGCGACTGAGCAGAGTTCAGTGTGGGTGTTACTTACCAGGTACTAGCTTGGCAGTTCTCCTCTGACTGGTGGCTCAGGTACCCAGGCTGCTTCTGTTTTGGAATCATGCTTCCGGTGTGGCAAGGGAGATGGATTATTTGAGGGAGATTTTTAAATGGAAACGTTCCACATCAATTCCATGACATTCCATTAGCAGTATATCAGTTATATCATCCTTTTTAGGTGAATAGGGGATGGGAAAATATTGTCTTCTTATGTGTCCAGAAGAAAAATGAAACAGTTTGGTCACTGTCTGTGCTAAGAGTATAAGTATTTTTGCAGATCTTATTACATTTGGTCTGCTGCTCACTAATTGGTTTCATCACTAGCAATATATGACAATGCCAAAGTACATTTTTTATAGGTTTCTATATAATCAGTTCTTGGTTGTCTTTGTTAGAACTTCTGTGTTCTTGCTCCATTGTTACCTCTGATAATAGTTACTATTCAAATGTTCAAATGTTCAATGTTCAAATGTACATTGAACTTAGTACATTTTAAGTATTTGGTAAATGATAGCAATTATTATTAGAATTGTAACGTTAACAGGCATAATAGTAGTTTCTAAAAAGAGTAGTCATGGGACTGGTTGATAACCATGATGTAAAAACTTGTCCAAGAAATACAATGAAAATAAAGTGATTTTTTGGTTGTTGTTCTTTTTCTTGTCTTCTCTAGTTTACTTTATATCTTGAGCTTAGAAGTTATTATGGAATATTTCTGTTTGTTTGGTTTTTTTTGGGGCTGCTTCTTGAAGTTATTTCAGTGAAATGGTTATTAACATAATAAGGGACTTGCTGGTTTCAGACCACAGGGAAGTCCAATGTCTAGTAGTGGTATTGAGTCTGTCACTGACTGCCCAGCCCTTTGGCTGGGACATTTAGTTCCTCTTGTGTGCTATTAATTTATTTCTAAAATGAGAGGATTGATGACTTCTGAGACTTCCCTGTGCTCCAGAATGTCATGGTTGAATTAAGTCTATTGACATAATAGACTTGTTGGGCCCACATGTTCGGCTCTGTAACTTTTCACTGCCATAGGAGGAGCCAGAAAACTCTTTCCTTAGTAACCATAATTAATACCACCTTATCTTCTTGGAGCTGTGATGATAAACTTAAATATTCATTGCATGATCATTATGTGGCCTTTGGTATAGGATGACCACAATGGAAGGCCTATAGGCTCTTCTTAAAAGCCACCTGTACCACCTGCCTGGTGGCATCATTTCTGTTTCAAAAGAAGTTTGTTTTTGTTTTTTTTTTAATTGGAAGACTATCTGAAATGCTGATTTCTAAGTTATTCTTTTATTTCAGCTGAATTCACAGCAGAGCGTAAGAAGTTATGTGTGAGTGTTTTTGATTTTTGACACTTTTTTTAGTGCTCTTAGATTGTCTATTTCTCAGGTAGTTCAAAGTGAACACCATTTATTACATTCTCAGAGAACAAAGCCTTGTATTAATGGATGAGGAGCTAGATTCTAATCCTGGTTCCTTTTTAAACTTGGAAGTTTTATAAAATCAAGTTTGTTCTTCAGCCATAGTTATTTCTCTCCCATGAAATGTGAGTACCTGTGCTTTCCTGGATTACCAACCAGTTATTTTGGTACATCAGAAGACAATCTCTACATAATTCAGTTTGGTGGTCTCATGCATGTGTCATGGTTTCAAATATCACTTGTCACTCTAACAGCTTACAAATGTGTTTCTTTAGCTTCAGCCTCCCTCCTGAACTCATATTCATGTATTTAGTTGCCTACTGTATATCTCCATTTGGAGCCTAGGAGGTGACTTAAACTTGATATATTCAGCAATGAGCCTGATGTTCTAACTCTGATCTATCTTCTGTATTCATCCGTCTATCAGAAAATGGCAACTCGGTCTTTCCATTTGCTTGGCCAGAAACCTTGGAATCACCCTGCATTGTCCTCTTTTATATTCTATACCCAATTTTTCAGCAGATATTTTTGGTTCTTACTACCAAAATATATATCTATAATCTTTTCTTTTCTTGCTACCTCCAAACTACTATCATGGAGTGGTTGCGTGAGTTGTTGAAGTAGACTTCTAACAGGTCTGTCTGCCCACGCACTCTTTTCAGTGTGGTCTCAACCTAGATCCTGTTAAGATGAAAGTCAGCTCATGTTATTCCTCGCCCCAAACCCTCCAATGGCTTCCTGTTTCATTCAGAGTAAAAGCTAAAGTTTTTTTTGTTTCCTAAGCCTTTCATGAACTGGCCATCTGTCACCTCTCGGCACTTATCTCTTTCTACTCTTCTAGTTCTCTCTGTTTCATCCCTACTGCCCTTCTTGCCTTCCTTGAGTTCAAATTGGCTTCAGTTTAAAGGCATCTGCCCTCACTCTCCTCCTGATAGTCACATGACCAGCTCCTCTGCCTTCTTTCAGGTCTTCACTCCAGATTTTTCTCAGAGAAAGTCTTGATCACTGACTAACCCTTTTAAAAATCTAGGAGCTAGATTCTAATCCTGGTTCCTTCTTAAACTTGGAAGTTTTATAAAATCAAGTTTGTTCTTCAGCCATAGTTATTTCTCCCCCATGAAATGTGAGTACCTGTGCTTTCCTGGATTACCAACCAGTTATTTTGGTACATCAGATTTTTCTCCACGATACTCCAGATAGTCTGACATAACTGTATGTTTACTTATTTGCTTAATGTATGTCTCTGTCCACTAAATGTAAGCTCCATTTGAGTAGAAATTTCTGCGTCAGTTTTGTTCACCGCACTGTTTCCAATAGTTGGAATAATTCTTGGCACAAAATAAGCCCCCAGATATTTTCATTTAATTTTTGAATAGCTAGTACAGTCTGTGGCTCAAAATATATATGATGGTTTGTATTAAAATCTTCCTCTCACCTGTCCCATCTCACTAGTTTTTTGCTGCATCCTGTTTTATCTTTACTGAGATTCTTTATGCAATTGCAAGTAAAAATTGTACCAAATTATATATGTGTATATATATATATATATTTCTGTGCCTTGCATTTTTCACTTAATATATTTTAGATGTCTTCCCGTATTATTTCATAAAGAGCTTCTCTAATTTTCTTTTTTTCTGTTTAGTTTTGTATTGAACAGTTGTGCCATAATTTATTTAACTGACTTCTTTGGATGAGCATTTAATTGTTCTGGTCTTTTGCTATATACACAGCATTGCTATGAACGGTTTCATTGGTATATATTATTTTCTGTGAGTGCTAGTATGGCTTTAGGGTAAATTCCAGAGTGGAAGTACAAATAGTACAAAATTGTCCTTGTTGATATTCCCATTTGCTGTATATGGGTACCCTTTTCCCTACAGCCTGACCAGCAGACTGTGCAATCAAACTTGTGAAATTTTGCCAATCTGACAGTTGAAAAATAGTTTCATAGTAGAGTTTAAGTTTGTTTCCTCTTTTCTCAGTGAGGTTGAGATACTAAAAAAGCATTTGTTAAATAAATGGAATGCTGTATAATAGCATGTTTTGACATGCCGTTGGAACCATGCTTTGCAATCTCTGCTTGCTTTGTTTGTTTATGTCTTAGCTTGGATAAAGAAGCATTTGTATCTAATAGTCCCTTTCATGTAGAACTAGAATTGCATGATATCTTTTTGAAAATTTGTCTAATAGTTTTGCTCAAGTTGAATTAATAAAAATTCATAGAATTATATTAATAACAATGATCGCTTATATAGTATAGTTAATTCAATATTTCATTTGGGCCTCATAACAACCCTGTTATTTTCCAGGTGTCATTCTCCTTTAAAAGTGAAGAAACTATGGCCCAGAAAAGTTAATTGGCTTGTCCAGGGTCAAGCTTATACATGGTGCATTAGGGACTGGAACTGTTTTTTTCACTTTAAATTCTCCTAAATTCACTATTCTGTTGTGTACCATGTTGCTGATTTCATTGACAATCAAAGTATAGCAGAATGATAGATAGATTAGGCCCACATTTAGCACTTTATAAATTACTTTAGACTTGGTGATTCCTTTCCAAACTGTATGGCTCCTTTGTTGACCTTTATCCATTAAAATTAGCAAGTCCATTTTGAGGGTCTAATGGAGAAAGCAAATTGTTTAGTTTCATTTATGTATATATATAGCTAGTCAGCAAAGTTTTGAAAAAAATAATAATGCTGTTCGTTTTCTTAGAGCTGGAGATATATATGTTGGAGATTCTTTAAGTTAGACACTTTACAGATTAAGCTGAGGAATTCTCTCAAAAGAAAAACGGAATAGCTTTAATTTTTTTCCACTGTTTTAAAAAGTATTACATACTTGCAGCAAATTTAGACAATACAAAAGTATATTAAGTGAAAGTACCTTGTAATAACAAGCAACACAGTTTTAGCCCTAAAAGTCTCCCCCACCCCCAGAAACATTGGGAATAATTTAGAGTATATGTATTGCATATTAGAAAAGAACATATGTATATGTATATATATACACACATGCACGTACATATGTACATTTATGTAGCCAATTTATGATTGGCATTGGTTAACCATTTGGGAAAAAATGAAAAGAGTAATATTGAGGGTTGGGGTTCCCTTGTGGTCCAGTGGTTAGGAATCCCCTGCCAGTGCAGGGGACATGGGTTTGATCCTTGCTCTGGGAAGATCCCACATGCTGTGGAGCAGCTAAGCCCTGTGTGCCGCAACTACTGAGCCTGCAATCTGGACCTTGCGAGCCACAACTGCTGAGCCCATGTGCTGCAAGTCCTGAAGCCCGAGTGCCTAGAGCCTGTGTTCTGTGACAGGAGAAGCCACAGCAGTGAGAAGCCTGTGCACCGCAATTAGACCAGCACCGACTCTCCGCAACTAGAGAAATGCCGCATGCAGCAGTGAAGACCCAGCACAGCCAATGAGTTAACTAATTTAAAAAAAAAATGTGTAGGGTTGGCTAGTGTAAGTGGGACTGTAAATTGGTACAGTGTTTATAGAGAACAATCTGGCAATATCTATCAAATTTAAGCTTTTTTTCCCTTTTACCTTGCAATTTCACTTGAAGTCTATCTTATAGATACATGTGTCTTAGGATATATATCTTGCAAAGATTATATATAGTATTACTTGAAATATCAAAAAACCATCAGTAACTTAAATATTCATCAAGAAAAGTTTCCTTTTAAGAACAATTAGAATTATCCCTTCTCTTATTTAAAGTAATTGTTCAAAATAGAAAAATTTAAAAACTGCCAAGCAAAAAATAAAAGCAAGCAGCCTAACCCTATCACCTAAGATAAATGTTGTTCATGTAATTGTAAAAATTTGGATCCTGTGGTAAATTTTCTCATAGAATCTGTTTTTTTCACTTAGTGTGTTGTGGCTATCTTGCCACAAAATAGGATGATTATCACTATTACTATTTTTTAAGGGAAGACAAGCATAGAATAGTATAGATGTTATGTTCTGTGGAAAAACATTTTAACCAAAAGACCTAGCCCAGAACTTTATATCCAGGTCCACTTTTCCTTTACTGCTTGATGATTCCCAAACTTCAGTCTTCTGGACTACTTTGGCAAGTTTCACTCTCTTTGAATTTCATCTTTAATGCTACATACTGAATATATTTTAAGAAGTCCATTTTTCCCACAATCTGTGAAGTTGTTGATTCAATCAAAATTTTACTGAGTGCCTACCCTGTGCCAGGAATAATTTTACATGTTGAGGAGACAGCAGTTATACAAAACAAATGCTGCTACCCTTATGGAGCTTACTATTAGGGGTTGGGTATATGAGTTGTAAATTTCAGTGTTAGAAAAAAGTAAAGTTTATCCATTTATCATTTAACATCATCTCATGTATCAGTGATGTGTGCATCACCCATGGGAAATATTGCCCTATAGCAGCATACAGGTACAGAGACCTCGTAGGCTCTGCATTGACAGAGCATCACAGAGTAACTTCGGCAGAGACAACAGAGGCAATATTGAAGAGTTCTTAGGAATGTCTGTTTGAACCTCTGACACAGTTTCTCTTTTGATTGTATCTCCATTGAACCTCTGACACAGTTTCTCTTTTGATTGTAGCTTCAGGTTTTGTAACATTTACAGTATAATTTAAGGTGTGTAGAATCATGGAATTTTAGTGGTTACAGAGGGCCTTGATTATTAGTCTGATTGTCAAAAGTGTCATGAAGAAATGGGCCCAAGGAAATGAGAGGCAGAATGTAATGACATGTAGAGCTAGAACCTCGGTTCCCTAGTTGTTCTAGATGAGTGTTCTCTCCACAGTACTACAATGGATAATCATTGGAGATGTTTGAGACAAACAGAGCATATGGAATTTGTTGTAGATGATGGCAGTAGTTAAGGGAGAATAAAGTCTGAGTTCTTAAGGCCTTAGCTTACACTCTGGGGTAAAAGGAGCCAGTCAGGGAAAAATGACTAAATTAAATATTAATAGATTTTGACCTTTCTTTACCAGTGTTTTTCCCTTTAAAACAAGGTCTTACTCTGTAGCACAGGGAACTATATTCAATATCCTATAATAAACTGTAATGGAAAAGAATATGAAAAAGAGTAAATCTTTGTATATGTACAACTGAATCACTTTGCTGTCTACCAGAAACTAACACATTGTAAATCAACTATGCTTCAGTTAAAAAACTTTTATTTAATAATTGTCTGTATTTTAATTTTTACAGATAAATATATAGAGAGAATATACCCTTGAAAATGTTTTAAGTGTTTTTTTTTTAACTAGAGCATATGTTAAAAATTTTATAGGATTAAGAGTTAGTGAGCTTATTTTCTTCCACATCACTTATTGTTCTTTTTCTTCTTTTCCAGAATTTTATAGGAGTGAAGTGATTAAGAATTCCTTGGTAAGTTTGCTTTCTGACAGGTGCATATGACTAAGCCTGTGACTCCTATTTTAGAAAATGCTGAGACATAAAATAAGTTGAAGTTCAGTTCTGGTATTATATTTCTACAGTTAAATCTTCTGCTCAATTATTGCGTAAATCTTCACTGATTTTTTCATTGATGTATCTCTAGTGCTTAGAGCATGCCTGGCACAAAGTAGGTGCTTGATAAATATTTGCTGAATGCATGACACTTTTTCTGTTAAAAACCTTTGTTTTTTTTCAAATCATTCTATAATTTTGTCATTTCTATTTGCTCTTGAGGTTTTTGACTATTTGACTTTCCAAACATCATAATAAATGATGTTTTTGTATGTAGTTCTTAAGAATTTTATGTCTAGGGCCATTGTATAGGATCTTTCCACTTATTTTTTGGTCATAGAGTTGCTCAAGTAGAAGGTTGGAAATGTCCTTCTTTTGCGAATGGGTACACTAGATATTTGCATGATGATTCAATTTGGCCATGTTAATAAAAAGAAAAGCTTTATGGTCTGATAATATTCTTTTAACAATCAAGCCATACTGGATTTAGTCCCTGTCCACTTTTTCAAACTTGTCTCCGAACAGTTTTTCTCACTCAGCCTTGTGTTCCAGTCTTACCTCATTTTTTCAGTGCTTCAGACATGCCAAACTTGCCTTCTTCCTTATGCCTACAGCACCTGTTTCCTTGCTTCTTCACTTGGCTAAAGAATCCTTTGAGGTCTGAGCTATGTCACTTCAGCCTGGCCGTCTGTGACTATTCCATCTAAAGTAGTTCCCTTTCCACTCTTTTTCACATCACTCTGTTTATTTTCTTCAGAGCGTTTATCACTGTTGGCAACTTGCCCGTTTATTTGTTTATTATGTCTCCCACTTACAAGTGTGAAGTTCCATGAGAGTAGGGACCTTGCCAGTCTTGTTCACCTTTGAAACCCTAGAGTCTCGGATATTGTAGATGCTCAGTAAATATTCGTTAGATGAATAAATGGGTAACTACAATGTGTTATCTTTACAGAATCCTTTTACATCTGTTATCTCATTTTGATCCTTAGAGCAGCTTGTAGACAGGGTAGATCTTAAGACACTGACGTCCAGAGAGTCTCTGGCTTTTGCAGTCTCACACAACTGTGGGACCAGAACTCAAATGCAGGCCCTCCATCTTCAGGTCTGTACTACTCTTTCCTCTTCACCAAGCTGTCTTCTTTTTCTTTTTTTTTTGGCCATGACACGTGGCTTGGGGGATTTTAGTTCCCTGATCAGGGACTGAACCCAGGCCCTCAACAGTGAGAGCTTGGAGTCCTGACGACTGAACTGCTGGGAAAACCAGCTGAGCCACCAGGGAAGCCTGACATACAGTAGCTGCTAAATAGCGTTTTTGCTCCTATCCTGGCTCAGTTGGAGACAGAAATGGTCTACGGACAATTGAGAGTTGGGGAGGTAGGTTTAGGGAGCAAATAGAGTAGGACTCCTCGATTTATTCTACTCCCTTTACTATAGTGAAAACTCAGTTTTCTCAAATTAAATACACATGTGTAACCAGTATCCAGATCAAGAAATAGAATATTTTCGGTGCCCCAGAAGCCCGCTTACACCGTCTTCAGTTACTACTCCTCTCTGACTTTTAACGTGGGCTTCCCTGGTAGCTCAGCTGGTAAAGAATCGCCTGCAATGCGGGAGACCCTGGTTCAATTCCAGGGTTGACAGGATCCCCTGGAGAAGGGAACAACTTACCCACTCCAGTATTCTGACCTGGAGAGTTCCATGGAATGTATAGCCCATGGGGTTGTAGAGTTGGACATGACTGAGTGACTCCCACTTTTCTGACTTTTAACACTATAAATTAATTTACCTGTTTGTGAGCTTTGTAGAAATGGAATCATGTAATGTCTGTTCTTTTGTGTCTGACTTTGATGTCTTAACTGTATATTGTAAGAGTCATTCATATTATGAGGTATACTTGTTTTCTCTATTGTCTTCATTGTATGAATATACCAGAAGTTATCCATTCTTCTGTTGCTGGGAATTTGGTTAGTTTCTGGTTTTGTTTGTTTGTTTTCTGGCCACGTTGCATTGGCATGTGGGATTTTAGTTATCGGACCTGGGAATGAACTTGTGCCCCCTGCCGCGGAAGCGTGGAGTCTTAACCACTGGTCTACCAGGGGAAGTGCTCGTTTCTAGTTTTGAGCTAACATGAATAGTATTGCTGTGGATATTCTTAGATATATCTGTTGGTTGAATGTTTGTATGCATATCTGTTGCATATATATGTAGAAGTGGGCTTGCTGGGAATATGCGTATTATAAGCTTTAGTATATATTGCTAAATAGTTTAAAGTTATTGTTTTGTTTACATTCTCATTAGCAGTCTATGAAAGTTCTTTCTGGTTATTCTTCATTATTGTGAATACTTGATATTTTTAAAATGTGTTGAATTTAAATTATTGATAGATATTATATATAGGGTTGTTTCAGTTTAAATCAAGAGATTTTTAACTGGCAGACTAAGCACAGGTAGTGTCAGTAGTGTCAGTAACTTAAAAGAATTGATATTAAGAACAGCTATATACTGCTGTGTATACTAATGAGGTCCCTGTATAGCACAGGTACTACCTCAGTGCTCTGCAGTGACCTAAATGGGAAGGAAATCCAAAACATAGGGGATATCTGTATATATATATAACTTATTTACTTTGCTGTACAACAGAAAATAACACAGCATTGTAAAGTAACTATACTACAATAAAAAAAAAAAAAACCCACAAAAAGACAACTGTTATTAAGATTGTGCAGGTAGATAGTGACACCTGATGACTGCCACCTAGTGGTCAACGAGTATAGGACCTTATTGATTTTAATATTTCTAAAGTCAGAATTTATCTTACAATGGAAGAAAAATGTTACAATGAAAGATGGAAGAAAAATCTTACAATGGAAGAAAGGAGTGAACAAGCTGGCTTAAAACTCAACATTTAGAAGACTAAGATCATGGCATCTGGTCCCATCCCTTCATGGCAAATAGATGGGGAAACAGTGGAAACAGTGAGATACTTTATTTTTGGGGGCTCCAAAATCACTGCAGATGGTGACTACAGCCATGAAATTAAAAGACACTGCTCCTTGGAAGAAAAGCTATGACCCAACCTAAACAGCTTATTTAAAAGCAGAGACATTACTTAGCGAACAAAGGTCTGTCTAGTGAAAGGTGTGGTTTTCCCAGTAGTCATGTATGGTTGTGAGAGTTGGACTATAAAGAAAGCTGAGTGCCAAAGAATTGATGCTTTTAAACTGTGGTGTTGGAGAAGACGCTTGAGGGTCCCTTGGACTACAGGGAGATCCAACCAGTCCATCCTAAAGGAAATCAGTCCTGAATAGTCTTTGGAAGGACTGATGCTGAAGCTGAAACTTCAGTATTTGGCCACCTAACGCGAAGAACTGACTCATTTGAAAAGACCCTGATGCTGGGAAAGATTGAAGGCAGGAGGAGAAGGGGACAACAGAGGATGAGATGGTTGGATGGCATCACTGACTCAATGGACATGAGTTTGAGTAAACTCTGGGAGTTGGTGCTGGACAGGGAGGCCTGGCATGCTGCAGTTCATGGGGTCACAGAGAGTCGGGCATGACTGAGCAACTGAACTGAACTGAAAGTCAAAATTTATCTTACAGTGGAAGAAAAAACTTGTTAGAATTGATGATAAATTGGAATATGTGTGTGTTGTGAAGTCGCTCAGTCGTCTCTGACTCTTTGCAACCCCATAGATTGTAGCCTATCAGGTTCCTCCATCCATGGGATTTTCCAGGTAAGAATACTGGAGTGAATTGCCATTTCCTTCTCCAGGAGATCTTCCTGACCCAGGGATTGAACCCAGGTCTCCTGCGTTGTAGGCAGATGCTTTACCATCTGAGCCATCAGGGAAGTTCGTAAATTGGAATATGTTAGATGGTAATAAATATAATTGAGTAAAATAAAGCAGTATAATAAAGTATCTGGCAGGGGTAGTGGCTGAATTTCTGTGGTAGTCACATGAAAGGTCTCATTTGAGCAGACAGCTGAAAAAAATGAGGGAACATACCATGTATCAGAGGATGAGATGGTTAGATAGCATCACATAGTCAGTGAACATGAACTTGAGCAGACTCCAGGAGATAGTGGTAGACAGGGAATCATGGTGTACTGCAGTTCATGACATCGCGGAGTCAGGTACGATTTAATGACTGAAAACAACCATGTATCTAAGAGGGGAAGGCTGTTCCAGGCCAAGAAATAGGAAAAGATGAAAACTTGAGGTTTTCAAGGAATGGCTAAGAAGTTAGTATGGCTGGAGTAGAGTGAGTGGTTTCAGATTTTGACAAGCTTAACAGAGACAAGGAGAAAAGAATTGAAGATCAGGACAACAGAGGAAATGACCTGGAGAGATATCAGATAGTAGTCAAGGGGTGGATGGCATGGGAATGAGTGTTTGAGAGGTAACACAAAATTGAGGGCAGCTAGTGAACAAGGACCCCTAGCTTATTCATTTTTCTATTTTCTAATGTCCCTGGCACAGTGAAGTCCAGTGTCTGTTACATTAACTAGAATAATCCGCTGTTGACAGGCTAGATGGTGGAGCTGTGTCTCTGAGTTGTATGTCAGACTCCTGATTTCTTCTCAGATATATTTAGCATTGAACAGTTAATGGTGAATGTATAATTCAGCTTTCTTATCTCAGGGTTCAGCTAACCATACCCTCCAAAGTAGTTATTTATTGAATTTTGGTTCAGGGGGAAATTAACATTCTTAACATTATTGAAGGGCCATTGATTAATTAAAAAACAAGAATAATTGAAGTGGTAAGAATGGAAGTAACTAAATTCTCTAAATTGGATTTTGTATGTACAAAAGTAGAGGCGAATTGTGTAATGAACCCACGAGAAAGTGAAAGTGGCTCAGTCATGTCCAACTCTTTGAGACCCCATGGACTATACAGTCCATGGAATTCTCCA